ATTAAGATTTATGTGAAATTTGCGCATTTCCTCGAATTTAATTAAAAACGATCTAATGTAAATAATTAATTAATTAATTAAATAAACAAACTATATGCTACAAAAAAAAAAATGAATAATATAATTTCTTTTTTTGTTGCTTTTTGCTTAGTAATTTTTTATAATTTTTATTATAAAATTTTTAAAATAAAAACATTTTTACTAAAAAGAAACCCTAATACTAAAAAATTTAATTATTATTAAATTAATGCTCTAAGAACAATAATCGAAATATGAAAGAATTTATAATCTAAAATCTGTATGATACTAAATGATCAGTTGGTATTAACCAATCGGTATGGTATATAACACTAACTCCACACTTGTTCAAATAAAATATTCCGGTACGAAACGTTGATTAAGAAGAAAAGAGAAATAATATTGAGAAAATAAGAAAATAATCAAAAAAAAACATAAATAAAACAATGTATCCGAATTTGTTATTCAAATTTAATTCTATCTCGTACAATTCTATACTTAATCATCTTCTTATACTATATATTATTAATGTTTCATTCCCTTAACAAATATTGTTAAGAGATATTCTTATAACACAATTAAAGATTATTATCAATCATCCTAGAACTATTATACTAATGTTCGCAAGTTCTTTACCTTTTGTTGTTTTGAGGAGTCCTCCTAAAGTGTTGCGAATTTAGTTTTTCCTTATTGGTTTTTCAACCAGACCCAACTCCCTACATTAAAAATTACATCTTCTCTTTAACCTTCTCTAAATTCTCTTCACCAACATATGCAAACATGAATTTGATATTCATAAATATATAATAGGGCAGGACCACGGTTGCCACTTGAAAATTTTTTTCTGTACCAAAATTGGTTTAAAAAGGTACCATTTCTGTAAAAAAAGGTCCAAAATTTTTTTGGACCTTTTTGTTTTCTCGTTCTGTGTTTTTCATAGTGTTATAAATGAACAAAATATAAAATAGTGCAAAATTGCATTTATTAAAAAAATTAATTGGAAATATCCACAATAAAGTTGGGTTGTCAAAAATGTACCATTTTTTGAAAGTGAGTACCAAACGAAAAAAAAAAAAAAAGTACCAATTTTGGTACTAAAGTACCATAAGTGGCAACCGTGGGCAGGACTTTATTTTAACTTCACAGTTATTACAAATTTGAATCAAATTATATATCGCCAAGGCATTTATATTGTTTCTGTATATAATATATAAGCATCACCGTTTGCAACTCTTTCATCCCACGTTACTTTATCCTTAGGAAAACAAATTCTTTTTGAGAAATTCGCTTAAAGGTCTACGATTATTATCTAGAGATTCAATAGTTATTCCTTGCGGATCGTAAGGAGTAGTAAACAAATTGTGACTGCTAAGAATACAAGTTTTTTTATTTTTATAATAAATACATAAACTACAGCTATATAAATGTGCTTAAGAAATCAATTTATTTTTACATAAATTTCTTTTGCTCTAATACTATACTAGTATTCTACATTCTTTCTTAAAAGTATTAGATATAAAACATTTATTTCTTCTAAAATAAATCGAATTACAATTTTAATATTGTACATCAAACGATCAAAAATCTCTGCAAAAAATCCACATGAAACATATAATAAAACATATAATGAAACATATAATGAAACATATAATGAAACATAATATAATGAAATATATAATGAAACATTTTTTCAACTACAAAATTATAAAATTAGTTTTATCTTTTCGCAGAAAACAGTTTTTCTAAATATGATAAACTACCATATAAAAGTTTCTAGTTCGCAATTGAACCATATGCTATATATCAATTATTGAATTGATAAATAGGTTATTACCAATTAATATTAAATATATATTATTTCATAGTGCCTAAGGTGAAATGTCTTCAAATAATCATTATATTCCATTCTATTCAATAGTTTCAAATAATACTAGGTAGTGGAGTAGTACATTAGATTTAATTCATAATATTATATTAAAATAACTTACATTTACTATTTATCCCTCGACGAATATATAGTAAATCTAAGTGTATTATGTTTAAAAAAGTGCTATAAAGGAGCACTCATGTAAATACCGGCTTATTTTTATTTTATATTAGGCTGTAATAAATTTTAAAATTATGTGTTCATTCGATATAGATATGAATATATAATTACATATTAATAGAGTATTGGTTTTAAACAGAGCACAACACTGCGATCTTTGCAGATCGTTTCTGTTGAATCCGATAATATTTTAACAGTAAACACTGAGCTCTTCGAATGAAGGTCAAAATGTTACCTGTGTTCATTCCTAACATTTGATGGGTATAGAAACTTTCCAGATAATACTTTCCAAAATGTCGAAAATAATGTGACTAGACGTTTTTTTTCATGTCTGCCCAAACGAGCCCGGATTATTGAGATAAACCCTAGAAAATGCAAACAAAATATACATTTAATCGAGTTTTTATACTGACGTAGGTAGGTCAAACGTACCTAACTACAACAATAATGGTTGGTCCCTTTAATGGGAGTGTCGTTATGATTGTCGTTATAACGTAATTTACGCGTTTAAAATTATTGTGTTCATTACTTTCATTCGACGTGTAGTTACATATTACAACAGTGTTAAGTGCTCCAAAGAACACAAATATATTAGATGGAACTCACTCCCTCTCTAGGATGAAAATGTTCCGGCGGAATTTCAATGAAGCGTTCACTGCTGGTGATCATGTTAACAGCTATGGACTCTGTAACAATCAAAATTGATAGCTGGTATCACACCTTCGCCAGTTTCAAAAAGTTTAGTCGCAAAAGATTTTCAGATCAATTCCTCACACAAACTTTTTTGTGGATGCTTTAATCTGTCAATAGTAACTAGTGGATTTTCAGTGCCTCATCACTGAAGATAATACAATGCAAAAAATTGACACCAATTTTGGAATAAGTTTTTTATATAGTAAAATGGTAAATCGTGAGGTAAACATATATTGCGTTGGATGTACTACTGAAGAAGGGCTACCTAATTACAACCACGATAACCATGGAAAACGCTATATATATTTATAGCAGTATATATATGTAGCTAAATATTAATCAATGTGTTGTATGATATTTTCAATTTTTAATAAAATGTCATTTGTTGCAAAATAATAAAAAAAATGAAAAGGAATTCATTTACAAAATTAATCTCAGTTTTTAGAAAATCAATAAAAGCTTCTTCCTTCGCAAAGTCTTAAAAAGTAATAAACAAAATATTTTCAGCATCAAAACATTTCAATGTCAACAATAAATCCACAAAAGTAGGCGATATTTCTATCTTATTTATTTACTTTTTGCTTTCTTATGTATTTTATTGTAAACGCTTAATGCATATAAAAGCAAAAGTTTTTCACATTGTCCCTGTGGAAAAATTATTAAAAATTACTCTGCACTTTTGTTTGTCGAATCCATTGTTATACACTATTTTCTGATTCTACAACCATTTCCATTGTATTCTGAATGCTCTCACTACAATAATTAGTACTGTACCTTCGGAAGAACACACATATGTACACGTATATCTGAGTCCTTTTCTATATATTAATTCGCTCAGATGGGTATGAGCAAACCAAGTGCAACCTCCTGTGCGGATTCATTCCTTTGCATTGGAATATGCCAAGCAATTCGGTCATTATTATAAGTAAACTTTGTAGAAGTTTCTTTTTAATAATATTAAATTTAATTAAAAACTTTAAATGTTTGTAAATATTAAAATAAATGTTATTTATGAAAAACTTCAATAAACTCAAATATAATTGCAAAATTAAAACTCAAAGCACTTCATATAAAACTCAAAATTAATTTCATGTGTGTATAAAACTTATATTTAAATAATAAATATAAATATGTAATATAAATATATATAAAATATGAAACTTCATATTTTATGCATATATTAATTTTTTTTTTAATATAAAAATTTTTTCACTTTTGGTTGTAGGACATAGGAATATTTTTGGCAACTGGCAGTCAAGTGACCCGGGCAGACGGAGTGTTTCAGGTAAACACTCGGTATTCCCAAAAAATTTGAGCATATCGTTGACATCATGCAAACAATTATTGAAATTGAATACAAGATGAGAAGACTTAACGATATGTAAGCTTCTGTATGCAAGTCGTTTTAAGAAAAAATCCAGTTCTCTCATTGAGATATCCCGTAATGATATAAGTCTTGTGGTAGCTTTGCTAACCGGTCATAGCTAATTAGAAAAACATGCTAGAAAATTGAATCTTCCGATTAATCATACCTGTCGCAGTTATGAAGAGGACGATAAAAGTTCATCAGAATTTTTGGCAGCTCCAGAACTTCCCTCTAATAAGCATGGTGATGCAAGTTATGGATTTCTTACTTTAAAAATAAAGGCATTCATATTAAAAATTCAGAAAAAATCTGGTAAAGGGTGTCCTAAAATTACATTATCAAAAATAAAAATTATAAAATTCATCAGGATTTTATTATCAACTACGACTTTGTTGAGCAAATAAAACAAAAGCTGGAATAAATAGCCCAAAAACAAGAAATTCAATTTCTTGGAATCAGTCAATAAATAGAGCGTACTATTTAAGTATTCTAAAACCTAAGCTCTTAAATTTTTGCTCAAATTTTTTGGTTTCCCTGTTCAAGATAAGATAACTATATAGGGAGAGAGAGAATATAAACATTGTACAGTACAATATAATCCAATAAACTCAATCTCGCTCTGTCAAACACATTAATGGACACTAAACACTCAGTATTATCTTTTTTCAATATAATATAAATACTTTACCTTTGTACTTCAAAATTTTAATAATAATTTTTTAAAAAAGTATTTTTTTTTATTATCATAAAACAATTTCAACTGAAATATAATTATTCTTATTGGAAATTTCTCCGAAATAAATTTAAACTTATATATTTACATATAATTAATTTAAAAATAATATAATTAATTATTCTCTTTTTATGACATTTTAGGGTCAGTGCTCGGCTGGTACACTGCCTGTGGCATGGGTCGATGAAGGTCCCGGCCCTCCATGTCCGATATCGTGTGAACAATTACGTTTAAATAATAAGAACAACATAAAGAAAAATAATTTTAGTGCACTAACTAACAATAATGATAAGAGTAAATACATTATGAATATAAATACAATTAATTTTAAGGCAAATGGTAATAATAACAACAACAATTACTACAATAATATAATAATGAAGAAAGTTCGCAGAGATGCCAGCGAGCATTTTTATGACGGAAGTGAAAGTATATCACCCACAACAATAACATCAACAACGACAAGTGCGACACCAAAGGATACACCAGTTACAATGCAAAATGATGGCAAGGCTCCAACAGCAAATAATGAAGTTCAAAATACTAATAACATCCTTAAAATGAGCACGACCAACAGAAACCAAAAAACGTTTAATAATTTACACATAAAGCATTCGAGGCAGGATATAAATCCAAAGAACAATAACAAAGTTATTATGAACAACAGAAACAAAAAGGAGAAGAGATATACTGCTGCAAAAGATGTTGATGAAGTGAAACAGCAACAACTACAACAACAACAGCAACAGCAGCAAAAACAAAACGAACGTAAAAGAAATGAAAAGCAGGAACAGTGCCTTGATTATTTGGGCGATGCAGATGAATCTAGTCCGGCATATTTATGCAGTCTTAAGTCGTCCAAAGAATTAATAGCACGATTGCGAACGCTCCGACTTAAGAACTGTTGCGAAAGGAACCTCTTCAGCGCTTTGCATACAGTCGCATTAAATGCGACACTAAGTGGTGGCAGCAAGTGTGTACGTGTCCTGTCGGATATAATGGATTTGGATGCACTGGCGACACGTATTACTTGCGAGTTGGCTGAGATACTTTTTCGTTTCGACTGTCGACAGGTTTATTCCTTAATCCATCAGTGCAACGACTGCAAGGTGAGTAGACATTTATTTTTGACTTATGCGGAATATAAATAGCAATATCCTCAATAGACTTTCATATATAAAAAACTGAGAGTGATTTTATTTTTTACAGGGAAATATTCAAAAAATTATAATATATAAATAAATTATATTATTTAAAAAAAACTAATAAATTTTCGATTTGTAATATTTATTCGAAGTGGAATTAATTTCAAACTCAAAGATTAAATGTTGATTTGCGAAGTCAAGAGAGTACTGTACAAAATTATAATAATATATTTGCGAATAGAGAAGCGAGTCTTGTAAAGAACATTTGAATTAAAATAATTTTTGGTTGAATGATATATTGGGTCAACTCAGCCACTTTCACGGATACTACCAAATATTATTTATCAATAAATATTATTCAGAAATATTTATTGCTAAATATATGTAGTAATTTTTGAACTGACAGCATCAAGAATTGATATAACAAAAACTTTAAAAAAGACGAAATGTTAAAAGTAGAGCCCCAGTAATTCGGATTTTTAAAAATTGGAGTCAATCCGAGTTATTCAGACATTTGGATTGCAAAAGTCGTATTAAAAATCTACAAAAATATCTTTTAAAGGGTATTCTAAAATTCAGACAAGAATTGGAATATATTTGGATTATATATATATTATATATAAAAAACGCAATTTTTTTTAAATTATTTTTTTTTATTGAGTCGTAAGGTACACTGATTAAGTATGGAAAAATATACACAGCAAACGACCTCCACGACTTGCTAGCACATAAGCAAAATTTTGTTGAAGTTTTCCATAGTCAATATGCAGATACATATATGCCTTGAATTTCTTTAATGTAGCATAGAATTTCCTTCTTCAAGCCACGTGTATATGTTGGCGTAGACTTTTCACTTCATTTAACCTCATAGAAAGAAACCCACTGGTGCTATGTCATACGCTCTTAGACGTGTACTCTTATCACCGAAAAGGGATAGTACACTGTTAGCATATATCTCAAGCTATGATGACCATAGCTCCAACCATTAAACCAAAATCTGCTCCAAACAGTAATATGTTAAGGCTCCATTTGTTTCTCGACTATTACATATCACTTCTCTAACCGCAAATGGAACAACTTTTACAATTAACAAAGCCATCCAGATGAAAATGTACTGCATCACTTAAAATGCGATGAAGAAAATGCGACGGGAAGAAAACGCTATTAAGAACATATAATGAATAAATAAAACATATGTACAGCGTTATTTGTATAGTGAACTTCTCACTAGCTTAGTATTATCGTAAAACTTCAAGTCTATAGTGTTCACCGATTTTTACCCTAGTCATTGACTTTAAAAATTGACTATATGTCTAGCAGTTCATCTTTGTATTAAAAACTTAAATCGAAATTTTTCACAAAACTTTGCTTATTCTTATTTTGCTGTGTCTTTATCATGTATAAAAAAAAGTCCCTTGAAGCTGTATGAACAAAATCCTTTTGATAAAATTTTTCTGTCATTTTTCTTGAAAATAAAAATTGTCTTCGTATTTTGTCTGACGGCTCCATTTTAAAGTATGCCAAAAATCTTTGCTTTCTTGTCAAACCTTTTGGCATACTTGCCTAAAAAGATAATTTCTTTTTTTTTTTATTCAAAAATGAGTTTTGGATAAGAAAAGTGCTTGTCATTCGCAAATTTGTCTTAAGTTTCTGTTTCTTCTTAATAATTTGTCACTAATTTATTGATTTGTAATACTTTAAAATTAAAAATGCGTAGAAATTATAAAAAGTATAGTCCACAATTGCACATAATGAATAGTTATACTCAAAATAGATCCAGTCAAAAAATATATAAAGGTCAGAGTCCCAAAGCTATAAGCAAAAACTGACTAGCTACCCTACATAGCACTAACTAATCTTAGAGTAGTCACTAGCCGTACGTGACGGTATGCAGATCTTAGATCAGTCATTGAATAATCAGCGAACCTTTTGAGAAATATATTAATTAGTTAAAGAGAAGTGAGGAACTCTGTAGAAACCCCCTAGCTAAGAAAGAGTAAAAATGCCCAGTTGCACTAACTCAGAAAAACTTCAATATAAGACATGAGATTAATTCATGAGTATGCGGCAACCTATATTTAATCAGAATTTATAAGCAAATGTTTACTTAATCAGATTCGTACCTTTTTTAGCTTATAAAATAGAAATCGTTCTGATTCTATCGCTTCTAAGAACAGCAATCAGTGTAAGAATAAATATTTGTCCAGGGTCTACTCTGGCTAGACATTGATAAGATTCTAGCAAACCTTCGTATTTCTTTATTAAGACATATAAATATGTTAGCTAGTGTACATCTCGAGTTCTATGCCTAATAAACCATTTATTCTTTCAAAAGATAAAGACGCATTTTCGTAGTTAGCAACTTACTGTTATATATGTTGCTTTAAATTATATATAAAGATTAACTAAAAATATAACCATTTTATTTAGTAGTATGGAACAATATAATTGTGCACAAAATTTTCTTCTATCCAAAAAAAACATAAGTGACATTTTGTGACTATAAAGCTATAAATGGAATTACTAAAGAATATTATTTTTGTAAAATCTGTATTTCAGATCTGCCATAATATAATTAGACACTTACAAAAAGATTCTGCATTTGTAACTTAAGGGAATATTAAATTTTTTGATATACATGTTAATTAGTTAATTTTGACCCTACTTTTAACACTTCAATTCTTCAATAGAAACTTCCTTCTCGATATGGTTATGGTCTGCTAATTTTACAAAATGATTTTGGATATATTTTCGGGCATATTTTCATGAGAACAGTATTTATTTCATGCCATTATAATCCCTGTACAGTACATTTATTCGCAATCATATCTTCTTAGATTTTTGGATTATTTTAAAAATATTATGCACTAATTGGTCACTGAATTTGATTGATATGGGTACCGATACGCTCGTTGAGTATAACGAGAATAGAGGGTTTAGTCTCAGAAACTGTAGAACTATGTTAATAATTTCTATTTCAGTTCTTTAAGTTTTAAGTATTTATTGCCCACTTATAAATATCAAAGTTTGTGAGCAGATCACCACGAATTGAGCATATTCTTACAAAAAACATTAAGTTTATAATTAAACCACAACCAAGAACTATTAAAATTTCTTACTTACTTACTTAATTGACCATTACAGATGTGAGTCGCGTCGAGTAACCTCCATCAGCCAGCCCGAGTATTAATGTACTTTAAAGTATTCAAATAGAAGTAACAATAAAAAATTGACAATAAAAATTCCATTGTCTGTATAACATGCCTAACATATGACCGTTAGTCATATGACTGTCCGCATGTGCTGACCCTACAAATCTTTAAACAGAAGTAATTTCCTTCATGTTCCACCAAACGGACACCAGCTCCGATATTTTACTTAATATATATGAATTAAAACGATTTTGGTTGGTTTATCTTGATTATTCTATAATCTTTTATACTTAACACTATAGAACCGAAATAGAAAATTCTACTAATGTTTCATTTAAAAAAAAAACAATTTTCCTTTATGCTTAAAAGTTGAAGACTTCTTTGAAATCTCTATTTTATTAGCTTTATTATAAATGAGTATTGAATTTGAGAATATTAACGAGTCAGGTATATAAATAAGAAGACTATCAAAATGATAGTGATTCAATATCGAGTGAGTTCAATTTTAAATATTTATTCTCACAAATCTCCAAAAAGTATTCAGTATTCTAACTGCATGCATATGGTGTCGTTGAAAGGGTTCCAAGTGCTCTGTTACTAGTCCCCTATATAATAGACACAAAAAAAGGACAATAACTGCACTAATGAGAACGAAACATTCTAAAACTGGCACAAATGCGAATTGAAAACAGAAGGATTATGAAAGGTAAAAGCACAAATTGAGACCTCGACACAACTGTGAATTGCACTGATTAACAGCACTTAAAATGGATGCATTAAGCAGCCAGTGGTTTTCATATTAAATGCAGTTAAAAGAAAAAACCAACAAAATAAATTAAATACAATAAATACACTGAAAAAAATATCTGAATCAACTGTCATGAACAAGAAATTTTTAGCAAAAAAAATAAAAATGACTGCTACTAATAAATTTTTTTAATTTTTAAATTAATATTTTGTTTTTAGTATATAATTTTAATCAATTATTTTAATTACATATATACTGAATTTAGTATGTAACTATTACTTTGACAATTTATGTAGTTTCCTCCGTACTTGTTCCACGTTGACCACATAAATATTTAGTAGTAGAAGAATTAATTTGATTTTATTGTGTAGTTACTCTTTTTCTAATATTTCTTCTATTAATTTTTGGTTGTATTGTCCTCATTTTGCTACCACATAAATTTTTTTACAGTTTAATTTTATTAGCAGTCAAATCAGATGTTGCACTGAACTCTCACTTTTTAGCAGCTGTGCGCTCCACTCTTTACGCATAGCTTTTGTTTCCTCGTAAATATTTTCACTTTCTCAAACTCTGTTTGCAGTCACATATCTCTGCATCTGTTATCCTTTCTTCCAGAGTCTGTAGAACTGGAAAGCACCAATTTCCACACAAGAGAAAATTTTTCACACGAAAACCAAAACAAAAAAACTGAACTCTTTGAGAAATCCGCACAATTTATATAAGGACGAACAATACTACAAATTAAAATTTTAATAAAATTCAAAAAAAAATTTAATAAATAAAATTAAATTATTAAAGAAATATATATTAATTTATTATAATAAATTTTTGATGGGTCTAATTAATTTATTTAAAAACAATTAAATAAAATTCAGTACAAAAACCCAACGAAATTTCGCATGCAAAATAAAATTTTTAATATAAAAATGTTTTTTCTCTTAAATCCTCTTTACTCTGCACACATGTCTGCTCTTCTCTCCGTATCTACTCTTTCAGTTGTCAACTTTTCTCTACAAATACATTTGTTTAGCAATCATTTTGAAAGCTTCGTCTTTAGTTCCAATGCTTCTAAGACCACCCTTACTTCCAAACGAATACTTCCACGGCATGGATTTGC